TGCTACTACTTCAGATATTATAGTACTTGCAGGGGATATGAACGCATAAGTAGGGCGTCTGAGCTCTTCAGAAGCTCAGCTGGGTGGTAATTGTGGACTTAACTCCGAACGGACTGACAACGGTGATCGTCTGCTGCAACTGTGTGCGAAGCACAGTTGTTTCTTAGTAGCACTGCTTTTAAACACAGTGGGCGAAGTAGTGCCACTTGGCGTCCTCCTGTAGCTGGCCAGCGATGGACCCAAATTGACCACATAGCCATAAGTTACAGATGGCGTGGTTCCATCCTGGATTGCCGCGCGTACTGGAGTACCTGTGTCGACTCTGATCATGCCTTGGTACGCTGTCATTTCTCCATGAACTTACCGGGAAGCGCACCAAGTGTACCCTACGATTGGCAACGGAGAAATTGTCTCAGTCCTCGGTTAGGCAAGCTTATCAAGAAACACTGCATACCGAACTTCCGCTGTCTTGTTCTGATGACACTGAGCTTCAGTGGAATAGGATCTCGGCCGCCATGCATGACGCAGGAGCATCTGCTTGTGGCACTATCCATCGTCACCGCACCAGTCACTGGATATCCGAGAGGTCGGTGAACCTGTTGGAATCTAGAAGACACCTCCCGGATGGCTCTGAACAGAATGTGACCAGACGGGCTATTAGGCGTGAACTAAAGCGTAGCCTACGTGCTGACAAGGAAGTTTGGTGGACAAGTAGGGCTCAAGCAATGGAGGAGTCAGGAGCAGTAGGCAATTACCGCAAGCTCCTCCAGCTAATCCGCACCACTGGTCCCAGAAAACCAGGCGTTAGTGAGACAATCAGAGACAGCGCGGGTGCGCTGATACACAATAAGGAGCGCTGTATGGCTCGTTGGGCTGAACACTTTGAAGATCAGTTCAGCTGGCCCCCTGCTCCCGGACCTCTTCCTACTCAGGTGATGCAAGACGAGCCATGGATGGTTAGTTTAGAGCCTCCGTCGGAGGCCGAGGTCCGAAACGCGATCATAGCCCTCAATCGTTTTCGTGCCGCCGGCCCGGCTTCCCTCCCACCTTCACTATCTAAGGATGGAGGTGAGGTCCTCTGCAAAGCACTGACCTCTTTATTCGAACGTATCTGGAATGAAGAAAGTGTGCCGGCTAATTGGAGCGAATCGATTATAGTGGCAATATACAAGAAGGGCAGTCGCACAGTTCTAACCACAGGGGTACTAGCCTAACGCCCGTTGTGACAAAATTACTGGCCACGATTCTCGTTCATCGCATCACTGCGGAACGGGAATCTCGGATTAGGGAAGTACAGGCCGGTTTCCGCGCAGGACGTGGCTGTATAGACCATATATTCACTTTGCGGCAGGTGCTAGAGCAGCGCCACGCATACCGCAGATCGACACTAGCTGTGTTCCTCGATTTCAGGAGTGCGTTCGATTCAGTCGATCGATCGATTCTGTTCGAAATACTTGCGCAGAAAGGTGTTCCCACAAAATATGTGAACATCCTTCGTACTCTATACTCGAACACTACAGGCCGTGTCAGGGTCTACGGTGTCCTTTCGGATAGCTTTCCGACCACAAGTGGCGTTCGTCAAGGTTGTCCGATTTCCGTGAATTCTATCATGGAGTGTTCCCTTGCGGAATCTCACGATGTAGGTGTTAAAGTGCTTCCTGATGAAAGAGTTGATCTAGATTATGCGGACGATATCGTCTTGCTTTTCGACGATGTTGGGGTGGCACAATCAACCCTGAATAGCCTATCCAGAGTGGTCCCATTATTTGGTATGCACTTCGCACCTTCAAAGTGTAATGTGTTGTTGCAGGACCATCAGCCACTTGATGACCCATTGACGCTTGCTAACGAGGAACTCGAGGTGGTTGATCAATTCACTTATCTTGGCAGCTGCATCAGCAATGATGGGCGCATAGAAACTGACGTCAGCTCACGCGTTGCAAAATCCAGAGCTGCCTTCTTGAACCTGCGGCATCTTTTGCGAGAGAAGAGATTCCCTCCGTCTGAAAGGCCGGGTATACAAGGCCACAGTGAGGGTCGTTCTGCTCTATGGCAGTGAGACTTGGCCCCTTCGGTCTGAAGATCTGAGGCGTCTTCAAGTCTTTGATCATCGTTGTCTGCGAAGCATTGCTGGTGTCGGATGGCACCAGCGTGTCCGCAACGATGATGTGCGTAGGCGAGTATAAGGTGATGTCAATCATGCTAGCTCCCTAGAACAACAGATAGCACTGAATAAGTTGCGTTGGCTCGGGCACGTGCTACGTATGCCTGGTCACCGCTTACCTAGGAGGGCATTGCTTAGTTTGCCAGGTGTAGGGTGGCGCAAGGCTCAAGGTGGACAGAAGTTGACTTGGCAGCGGGAAATGAAGTCACTGACAACCAAACTGGGTGCCGTTGGTCCGTCTCGCCTTCCGGGTTGGAGTCCACGTGACTCGCCTTGTGCTTGGATCGAGACTTTACAGGACATGGCTCGCAGTAGACACCAGTGGCGCGTTTGCTGCCGTCTCGTAATTGGATTGCCTGTTTAAAGTGTGTTTGGTGCTGAGTTATCTGCGGGGTAATGACTGATTATGACGCGTGGCAGTGAAAGCCGCAAGGAAGCTGTCTCGCCGATGCCGCCTTATCTTTGCACGATAGCCAGCTGTTTGTGATGGTATGTTGTCTACACAAGGTGTAGGCGTCTTGGGGCATTAAGGTTTTCAGGTAAGTCCCTCTTTCTCTCCCTCTTATTATTCCTTAGTTCATAGGTTCTCATGGTTGTATGGCAGCGAAGCATCAGTTCAAATGGCTGATGTACTGCTGTTGATGATGATGATGATGTTTGTTGTCTCAGGCCGGCGGTGCGCTTCATCCTATTTTAAAAGCGAAATGAATTAATACCACTGAACAGATTGATCATTGTCTTCATTCTCCCGGAGCATTGTTTGGCATATATTTACACTTCTCTCGGATTTATTCCTTGACCTGTATTTTGTACAAATCTACCAAACATGTTGACGGGTGACCGAAATAATTAGGCGACTACTTGATAATCCAAAGGCCACTGGTTCAGGTTTGCGTAGTCCACTGAGTTTGGAACCATTAACTTCATGCGCCACAATTGATTCCAATCCAAGCGGAAGTAGTTGTCAAGAAAAAGCGGGCACCAATAGACGAGAATCATAGAGGAGTTAAGCTGCTGGCTCATTGGTGCCTACAAAGGCAAGTGCGTTCCAAGTCATGTGGTCTTGAATCGTCTCATTCCATAGGCCTCGGATTTACCGTATGGTTATGTTGACGGATTACTAATACTGGCGTGTCTTTTGAAAGAAGACAAATGGTATGGATCACCGATGCATCTCTCTGAAAATGAAATCGCCCAAGATGAATTGTCGGAAGCGGAAACTAGATTCACACTGGATGCCACATTAAAATGCACAGAACGCCAAGGGTTTACTTTAACCTATCTCAATGTGTGATAGCTGTTCCCCAGAGGTAAAGAGCCCCGGAAGTGGGAGCACACAGTAAGACCAGAGAACTAAAAGCAGGAACATGCTACTGAAGTGAGGCTTTGATGTGAGATTTCACCCACAGAAACTCTGTAGTATGCGAATCCGGGCGACTTCATGTGCTTGCAAGTTAGTTCAGTGATGGGTGTGCTTCACAATAGTGCCCTCGCAATATTCAAAACTAGGCTGTTTGGGTTTGCAAATGTCGAAAATTACACTGCAAACAATGTCATGCTCAACGTGTCATTGGTGAGACGTGTTACGTTGCAGTGGGGTACGCAAGAGTTAGCAAGTACGACAGATGATACCACAGCTTAATGCGAAAGCATATTCCTCTTTTTAGCTTACTGCTTGGAATCAGTTGAGTGTGCTTTTTTCGAAAACATTCCCCCTCCAGTTTATCCCACAGGCATGCTACAACGAGCTTCTCTGCATTGTTCGTTCCTTTTCCAGACTTTGATACATCACGTCCGTGCGTAGTGCACTAACTGGCTTAGCCCCAATTGATGGTTTATCATTTTGCTCTCCTTTCAAGTTAGGAATGATGTCGCTACGAACGGGGACTAGTCCCAATTAACCCGGCCGTTCTTGCACGCATCTCATTTAGTACATTATGCCGATCTTTTAATTTCTAGTGTTGTCCTTACTCACTCAGCGTTTATCGATATTTTGTTTCCTTTCGTAAACACAAATGATATGGAAAATGACCGTACGCATGAGCATCACATTTCCAACTAATCGACGCGAACCCTCCCGAAGAGCATACTGGCATCCGCACTAGATATTATCTTGACTCGGCGAAATTACGTTGGACCTCTATGAGCCGTTGTTCAGATTAGGAGGTATCTTCAAATATACCTTATTACTTCGCTTCTCATGGTCGTGACAACATACAACCACCTTGTGCATTACTTTTTTTTACCACCCGCCATTAGTCTCCATAGAATTTAATCACCGAGTCGATCTTCCTCAGCTCCCTGGTCACGCGAGATTTCTGGGCTTTAGTGAGCATGTATATGAGGGGATGGGTTAAGGAGATTGCATGTACTTCAGTCTCGGCTTATAGTTTTGGCCGTAACCTCGGTCTGCGTCCGCCCTTCTCTCCCTGGGTCACCTAGGCGGCTTATAACTTGTCAACTAGCATAGCTGAATTAATAAGTCTACACGCAGAGACTGATGATACTGTAGCCTGGTTTTTTCACAGCGGCGACACGTTTGACTGATTGTGACATCACCTTTTGTTGTTATACACCCTCTGTCGTCCTCCATTCTGTTTATCCACGTAGTTCTCCTTCTAGTGGACGTTGCATTGTCATACTCTGGGACATTTCATCCGGTGAATCAATACAGTCGAGTCTAATTTTCCTGTTTTACAAACTTTACATTGACATTTATGAGTGCCGCTTTTTCGCGCCTAATTATGTGTGTCAACATTGCATGTGTGTAATGGTGGATTGTTTCCATATTCACGAATTGGTCATTTCCCATTCACCACGGCATCCACGTTTCCAGACAAGCCCAGGCGTCATTTCGTACTCGATCCCGGTCATCAACGATGAAGGTCACGTACCCTCTTCGCCCCCGAGGAGGTTGCACTTCGCGGTCACGATGAGTTGCTGGTTCCACCCGCTGTTGGGCTTTCCTTTCTTACTGTACGCTGCTATCAAGTCTATCACAATTTCGGGCGGAATATGGTGCATGCGTTTATCGCTTAAATGCGTTTTCCGTTCTTCTGGCACTCTGTACTAGATGTTCATCATTCGTCTCGTTTTCGCTCCCCCATTTCGACGTCATCCCACGACGGCGGGTACACTCCGCATGCTTACCTCTCTCGCAAATTGCGTTTCCAGACCACTCAAGTGCCCATTCTCATTAGCACTTTGCCTTGTCGGCTTTTTGCCTCATCCTTTGCTTCCATCCCCCACACTTGTGATGCAGTGCATTACGCGATTTCCGACTTTTATTTTCACTCCTTTGTTGTTGTTTTTTACTTCATCTCTCCTTTGTACAATCGAATGCAATAGACACAGTGTATAGCGTTGCTTCTTAGACTTCCTTTACCTGTGGCTTCCCGGGGGAATGACGTGACCGTGCAGAGAATATGCGGTGTGTTCTTGGCTTCACAGGAGTTCGTTGGGTGTTTACGTGCATGTGTGTGAGTTACTCCTTCGCTCTCGTTGAGCCAGTTTTTCTCGCACGACGGCTCATCCCCATCGAATAACGTAGCAGCATCGATGGAGAGTCCTTACGATCGTAGATTTTTGAGTAGCTAGGGACTTTCTGTCCTTGAGGAGGCTCACCGAAGCTACTCTCAGACAACCACCACGCATCTGCAATGGTGCTGTACAACCATTTCCTCCTGTTGTTGGAAGTAGCGCAATTCCACTGGCCCCACCGCTGACCCGTGTATGATGGATTCGATGCTTCTAAGCCATGGGTGATGGTGAGAGACCGGACACGAGTTGCGCTGTTGTGAAAAATGTGCATGGTGATGTAGGATAAGCCGCGCTACAGCACAAATAATGATCAGTTACAGCGGCCCACCACCTTCGCTCACAGTTCAATGGCACAAGTCGGACTGTGGATTCGACTACGGAGGAAACGGGGTTGCGCACTGCTGACGATTCTCAATAAGACAACTGGTCGTCTACGGCATTTCTTGATGCGCAAGTGTTGCCTGATCGGCTGGGACAAGGCTTCTCAAGCGTAGTTTTGTCCCAGTGGCAATTTTCTCTCCTCACACATAGTCGGTCTACCTATCAACTTATATGTCTGGTTGCCAGTGACGCTTGTGTTCATGCGTAATTGTGTCGTGTGAGTGCTAGCCTTCACTGGTATGTTTAGTAACCTGCCACCCTGTACTCTTCATTCAGTCCCATATTTTGTTTCACTCGTGAATGCCAGCTTTCGGCTAAGTACTGGTCATTTCCAAGCACCCAAGTGGATGGGATGCGACACGCAATCTCCATGTGGATGAGTTGCTCGCGACGCGATGGCTCATTGATAGAGACTTTAGCTGACACTTCGAAGGTCTCGCGTTTGAGTCGCAGTGCCGCTATCTCTGCTTGACGAGTGCAAACTAGTACGAAACCTGTCGTAGAGTGCGCAGTGTGTTGCGAGCGAACTGGGGCTAACATCCATTCTCGGCTGTTTCGTATGCGTACACTCTCATTTCTCACAGTACGACTTGGCCACTGATTGAGCCGAATTTCCCTCCCTCACCTTTCCGATGAACATGCTACGATTCTGTCCAACATGGTATCGCCGCCAAATAACCTCAACCAAAACAACTAGCTTGATGCACAGCTCGAATCTCATGGGAGCCATGAGGTACTAATATTCTCAGTAATCACCACGTTACTGTCTCTCGGTTGACATCGCATTGAACATTGTTCCCAAATGGTGTCCCATAGTTCTCATGCAGTTTCAAGCTGCTATTCAAATGATACCGTTGGCACACGTGCTAAGTCGGTTGTGGCCATGAACAAATGTGCCAAAGTGTTTGGCTCTAACGACCTCCCATCGTCGTTGAAAATCAATGGGGACTTAACTGTAGTTGGTTTAGGTTAGCTGTCTGATGCTCTAAAGCAGAGAATCACAACCCGTCTCCATGGGGATGGTTGGACGATACAATATGGCAGTTATTTTTATCACAGCTTCTAAGCCAGTAGTGGGCACCACACTCCATTTGGTTAACCGATCATCCGGTTTGCATCAAAGTTAGTCCAACCGTCCGGCGAAATAAATTCAGCTGATAGATCCTGAAACTTCATCTCTTTTGTCTAGTCCTTTCCCGGGGACTTGCTCATCATCTCATTTAATTGGAGGACGTTATTCCTACAACCACTCGTAAGCCACCTGATTTTACTCGAATGATGCATGTGGCACTCCAGCCGAGGAGCACGTCGTATCTGAATCTTCCTACTAATCTCCAATTACAAGTGTTGCTCATGGATCTTAATGGCATAGTGATCAAGGCGCCAGCCGTCAACCACTAAGGCCCGAGTTCCATCCCAGCTCAGGCTATCTCCATCTGATGAGCCCAAACCAGGACGAAAACGATCATGGGGTGTCAGTGTTGGGAAGTGCAACACCGCGACACCTTCAATCTCAAACTAACTTTCCAGAGCCAGATTGCACGATGTGAAGTACATTACATAGAACTACCTCATGGGACATCGCTTGGATCTGTAGATTAAACTCATCTTCCTCCGCAAGGCTCTTAGTGCAAATGACAAAGTGTGCAGTTTTGTTTTCATAGCGTTTTCTGTAGTGCCTAATATCAGAGGGTAGCCTTGCGAGGGTTCGGGTGGCTGCAGCATTCAGATGTTGGTTGTCACTACATGGCATGCTCCGCCTCCAACTAAGATCCGACTGAAATCATCATCGTGTAAGAACCAAAGGTGCGAACGGAGTTATTTATTGTGGCAAATACCATCAACCATATGCATCAGCTCTGACCGCGAACCGTTCCATCAATCTACGAATTCCCTTCTAGAGGCTGTGTCGCGCACCCTACCACTGTATCCACTCTTAGTGTGGCTCCCAAGTGTTGTTCTTCTGCTGAGGCGTTGGTATAATCCGTTGCAGTCTGCTTTTCTTGGTACTTCCAGACTACTAACTATACGTGCAGTAGTATTTTCTGGGTCCACGCACCTCCGTTGCAAGACCTCTGCCTCGCGGCCTTTCCTAGCCTTTGACCTTCGGCGCTGCTTACTATGCGAATGGGTTATCTCTTCCAATTTGTACCACCTCCTCAGTTCTTTGGCATTTACCCGGTGAATCTCCCTGCCGACCGTTTGTATACACTTGGCCGCAAGTGGGGACACGCTGATAATCCCTGCGTTTTATTTTCGAACTGATCGAAAACTCACCACCCCGCTTGCCATTGTTGGTTTGAGACTTGTGCGTTTTCCACACCTTACTTTCAGGCTGCGGTTAGGTACCTTACTGATGTACTTTCTGGGGGTACTTTGCAGGTTGACTACATTCCAGCTGTTAGATCCAAGGGTAGTCGAGGTGCTCGATCGTACATCAACGGGAATGGCGATTTCTTTGTTGGGGCCTATTTGGACAATCGAAGAGTCAGCAAAAGCAGTGAAAAAGCTTCCTCCCAGTCTCAACCCTATGGTGCCAGCCACTCTTTGATTTTTCTGTTGTTTTGCCCCGTCAAGCCATTTGTCTGCGAATGATAGTGAATTACTCGCACTTTCTTGCTACCGCATTTCTCTAATCAGGTCCAGAATTCCTCACACTATTGTCTATTAATATCTTCTTTGGGGTTCCGTGGTGCTCTATCACTTGTTTCATGACGGAATGGCTTATGGTGCTCGTCCATTAGCTTGGGATTCCCGTTGTTCCAATCCAGCGCGCGAAATGCTCGCTCATCAGCAGTATATATTGGTTACCCTGCCTGGTCAATGAAAACGGACCCATTTCGTCGACCGACCATAGCTAACCGATTTTAGATACCGGAGTAGACTGCACCGGTTGTTGTATTCTGCGGCTATCGGTTTTCAACAGCTGACATTGCTTACACGAATGCACGTGTGTCTCGGCGTGTGTCTTTGGGCCTTGCGAGTAGGCGCCTTGTCTCGTCAAATCGTAGCTCCTCACAAGAAAACACCAACTGTCGCCTTAGTTTCTTCGGGTTCACGAGCACCGAGGTGTTATTACCTCCTGATATCCACATCAGGATTCCCGACTCATTTAATTGCAGCTTTTCCAAGCGGTTTTGGCCGCTTACGTCGGTTCGTATTTAAGACCGATTGATAGGTTACTCATGCAACGATCACTGCGCGAGAGCTTTTCGCTACATCTTTCAGCCACCGGCTGTCCTGGATCCTGCTCCAGCAGTATACCATATACACCGAAAGCCACACTTGATAAGTCATCTTCGTTCGTCATGTGACAAAAGACATGAAATTGTTTACCTAGGTTTGACTGCCATTTGTCCAACACCTAGACGATTAGGAGACATCCCTTCTCTACGGTTGAATATGTGCGTTCTGCTGTGTCAAATTTCTACTGGCAGACTCAATCGTCCCTTTGCTTTGTTTCAAAACGGCTCCGATTCCAACTTCGCTGGCATCAGTGGTCTCCTTGAAATTTTCCGGGCAATGAGTAACTTCAGGGTCAGCTCCTGTTTACTCATTTCTAGGGGAATGAAATCAAGTGCAAGTGAATTTCTTATCTTATTCCAGTAGCTCACAAAAGGGTGAGGCCAAATAGATGAATTCCCTCATAAATTTGCAAGAGTAACCAGCACTACCTAGGAACGGTTTCAGGTCGGGACCAAATGGCTTCTATTGTCAATAATTTCTCAGGCAGGGGCTTCAGTTCACCTTGTCCCACCTTAAGGTGCAGTAATGTCACAAATGTCTTTCCAATCTGGGATTTCGGTCCATTTCTACGAATTTCCGACTTCTGGATCCGTTCCAACCTTGCGTCGAAATGACTGCTGTGCTCCGCATCTGATTGGCTAAACAACACTATATCGTCCCCTTTTCCCGCCACGTTCTCTAATCCATCCAATAAGCATAGCACTAGAAGTCGAAAGGCGAACCGGACTCCCCATAATCCAGATAGCATCCTTATGGATTGGTGTTGCTTCTCACTGATCGTAACACAGTTTTTCCTGATCCTACGTTTGATCGCCAGTTGCCAATATTCAGACTTCTGATCCAGGACTAGGAATATCCTCGATTACTGCAATCTATCAGAATGTCTGCAACAAATAACACTGAGGGGAACGACTCAGGGCTATTTCATTCATCTCTGCGAAGTCCACCGTAACGATGCTTCCCATTAGTCTTTTCCACCAAAACAACTGGAGTATGGTATGGACTATGCGCCTCTTAAATACTTTTTCAGCCTGCAACACGAAGACGTGTCTTAGTTACCGTCCCCTGATTTCCATCATGTGTTCTGCCATACCATCAGTGCATACTGAGTGCTCACTAGCAGCTCTCACGGGCATGGAGCACTGCTCAAACTTTTCGCTCTGCCGATGGCTGATCGAAGACACTGCGGCACCCGTAT